AGCACAAAACTTTAACTTCCTCTCCGGTCAAGCTGCTTCAACCAATTCCGATTCCGAATCAAGTTTGGGATGAAATCACTATGGATTTTGTGGAAGGCCTACCAAAATCTGGAGGGTGGGACACAATTTGGGTGGTAGTAGATCGTCTCAGCAAATACAGTCACTTCGTACCATTGAAACATCCTTTTTCTGCAACTACTGTGGCAAACAAATTCATGACTAAAGTGGTGAAGCTACATGAGATGCCCTTGTCAATTATCAGCGACATGGATAAGATATTTTTGAGTCAATTTTGGAGAGAACTTTTCAAACTTCACGGAGTGGATCTGAAACGGAGCACAACCTATCACCCACAATCGGATGGGAAATCTGAAGTAGTTAATCGATGTTTAGAAACCTACCTTCGATGCTTCTGTTCCAGCCAACCAAAACAATGGGCGAAGTGGCTCGCTTGGGCGGATTTGGTATATCTGAAGTTGCGACCCTATAGGCAGAAAAGTTTAGCTCAAAGAAAGTCCGAAAAATTATCACCCCGCTACTATGGACCTTTTCGGATTTTGAAAAGGATTGGAAAGGTCGCATATAAGCTAGAGTTACCCCTTACTTCAGAAATATACCCCACTTTTCATGTGTCACAGCTCAAGGCTGCTTTCGGGGTTCCTACATCCCCGGTAGAACTCCCACCACAGCTCAACGGAGAACTAGAACTTATGGTACGACCGGAGGAGCTGCGTGGGGTAAGGGCCAAGAAAAACGGAGGAGCTGAGGATTTGGAGGTCCTGATTCAATGGGAGGGACTAAGTGAGATGGAAGCAACCTGGGAAGACTTTGCTAAAGTTAACGTGCAATTTCGCGAGTTTAACCTTGAGGACAAGGTTCAAGTTTGGGTTACCGGTGTTGATAGGCCCCCAGTCATGCAGGTCTACACTCGTAAGAAGAAGAAGAGGCCCAATAATAACAGCCCATTGGGGCAGAATCAACCCAAGTATCAGCAATGGGCAAACCAGGGGTAGTTTAGTCTTTTACTGTTTTCCAGCAGCTGTTGTATGGGAAACACTGATAGTGGAGTGGGAATGTTTAACGTCCTTAGCATGGAAGTCTTTTATCCTTTTATTAGTATTAATAGCTAGTGGTGGTATCTTTTTGGGGGTATGTTGAAATTGTAATTGCTTATGCAAACTTGGAGAGCTCTCACCTCTCGAAAGTGAGATTTATCTTTCATTTCTATGAATATCATACCAGTTGACCACTATTCCATCGTTCTTTGAGTCATATTACAGTTTGGGTTGGATTGCATGAGTGTGAGCTTATCAAGTTATTACTGATATCCATTGAGATCGAGTAAAAGATTGAATGATAGCCTGATAGTTATCTGTATCAACAACCTTTAGTTACACAGTCAAAACCTACTATTTTCTTAGCAGAGATGGTTGAGGAATCAACAATTTTGTGTGCAACTTTAAGTTATGCTATCAAAAACTATTATCTACTTTCGTGTTTTCTTCATTGGGAACCAGCCCCTACAACAGTCTCTTGCACATCCTACTCGACGTCCTTTGTTCCATGCTCCTTTTCCTTTGCCTTGTATTTGCAGCCTAAAAACATTTGAAAAGTGAATTATTATATAGCAAGCGATCACACAATAAAATAAAAAGTTAAAAAATCAAGGTTTTGGAGAACTGCCAACTACAGTAGCAGTGGTAGCAGATTTCAATGCCTTTCGGCGCTTGGTTTTTTCTAGATTCTTAAAGATGTAAAAAGTTAATTAGAACTTGAGACATTAATATGTTCAAAACCAAATACAGGAAACATGAATGCAATTAGCTGTTAAGTGTTGAAGCATCATATATATCAACATAGTTGATCATAAAAAATGTCATCGTTGAGGGTAAACTAATTGCTTAAGGAACTAACCTCGCATATCGTAGGCATTTTTCCATTGTTGAAAGCATCAAGAATGTACCGAGTGATTTGAACCGGTCATTACTGTTGTTCCTATCTTCTTGTGCTTAACTTTCTCGAAAACAAAACTCCTTACCTCGTCTATTCCTTTTTTGAACTCCGGCCTCAAGCGATCCATGCATCTACTCGGTTTAAAATAAATAAAGCTCAATCTTCTTTTCAAGAAACATGATATGTAAAAAATTCTTCTCTTGTTCATGAAAGAGATTACTTACTGATATTCGATCTTCCTCCAGAAACATAGGTCGCACAAGTGTGAAGCAGTGCCTAGCTTTGATTGATTTTCGAACCTATCAGTTGCTCATTGTTCAGGGTTTTAGGGAAGTAGATGAGAAAAAGGAGAACCATACATACAATCTAAAACCTACCAAGTGGGGGTAGTAGTATTAGTGAGAGGATATGGTAATTGGGTAATCTAGATGGGTCAATTTCATTTGGTTCATGGGTCATGTAGGTTTATTATGCATGTTTATTTTGAATAAAAGGATATGGTAAAAGCTATGACCGAGTCTTCTCCACTTACCAGGTTTTTAGGAAAGAATAGTAGTTTAATTGTTTTCTTTTGTAGCTCCCATGTGATGTATGGAAGGCTTATATATAGCCTTTAAGTGATAGCATAAGGAATAATAAGAGTAACTTTTGCAGATACTTTTTCCTTCTTATATTTCTCTATCTCTCTATTTCGTTTGTGTGCAGACTTATAGCAGTAGAGAGGGCCTGATTTCCAACATTTGGTATCAGAGCAGGTTGAAGAGAGCTGGTTTGAGAGTCGAATTTCGGAGGGAGGAGCCTTTGGTTGCAGGGCAACAAGAGCAGCAGAAGGTCGGCAATAGAAAGAAGGTTTTTATTGGCAGCAATCAAAAGGAGAAAGAAGAAAGAAAGAAAGCAAGAATGAAATATAAGCAGCAAAAGTTTGTTGTTTGTGAATGAAAGATAAGCAACAAAAGTTTGTTGTTTGTTAGCAGGTAAGAAGTAAGCAACAAAATTCGAAGGACGACAGCAAGACCGAAAGAGATTTTAGCAAGAATGATCGGTGGAAAGAATATCACAGGAGAAGACGTATGGAAGGGGATCAAAACTAGTTGTGGCTCGTGAGGAAGAGCACCCAGGTTCATACCTATTTCATAGCAAGAAAGAGAGGTCTGATTACAACTCTTTGTAATCAGGTCAAGAGAAAGATAGCAAGGAGGTTGTTGATCAGAAGAAAGATGCAGCAGCAGAATCTTTATTGTATGTTAGCAAAAATCATTAGCAATAAAGCAAGTAGCAAGAAGAAAGAAGAAAAGAAACAAGTAGCAAGAAAAGAAAGACAAGTATCAAGAAAAGAAAAACAAGATAGCAAGCAAGAGGTTTGTAGCAAGTAGCAGACTATAACAAGTAAAAAGTTCTGGGTTTGTAGCAAGTAGCAATCAAGAACGATTATAGCAAGATGCAAGAAAGCTTTTGGAACTCGAAAGTTTAGCAAGAGCAGTATATATAAGAACTTTGTGTTCTTAAAGCAAGTAGTAAGATTGAATCACAATGATTCGGATAGCAAGAGAAGCAAGATCAAGATTATCAAGATTATGGGGGTGAAAATGTTGGGTAATCTTGATTTAGGATATGGATATGGGTATGGGTTAATGGTTAGTATTTGTTTGATTTATTTAGTTTAAATAAAATGGTGTTTGACTAGCTCATTAGAATTGCACGTAGGTATACTTGGTCTTTAAAGCATCCTAGTCTTAAGGAGTAGTTAGCTAGTTTGTAGATTGTTTTTGTTTGTTTCCATTGGATATGTACCACATGATATATAAATATTAATTGATATTAAGAAATGAAGGTGGTATGAATTCACATAATTCTATAACCATAAACTTTGTGACTTGTACCGAATTTTGAAGCTAGCTTATGTTAATGCTCTTTTCAATACTAAGGCAGAAGAAATTCAAATAATTGGTTTATATTATGTATTTCAGAATAATGAGTCTACAGTCCATCCTAAAACCCTAGCTTCAAGCAGAACAATACAATTATTCATTTAATTTCTTGGTAACAACTCAAAAACCCTTTATCTCAAAATTGCAAACAAAATACTACTACATAATAAAAAAACTTGCATAAGGTATTTCTTATTACAACATATATAAACTACAAACACAAAAGCATATCCCATGACGAAAAAGAAAAAAGTACCTGATTCGAGATGAAACTCTTGCCTTCCCGAGCTGTACCACAAACTGAAACCACTCCAATGGGTCCTTTAAGAAGCTGAAGGATCGAAACAACTTCTCTATCCATACAAAGCCTCCCTTTCATCTCATCGTAATAGGCGAGGCGAATGGGTCTGGGAACGACGCTCATGGCTAAGCTAGTAGGTTTAATTATAAATGTCAATAAAAATGCTTTTCAACTTTTACATATTTAATTAGAATACTAACCGTGATAACTTTGTAAAAGATTTAAGGAAATAATCTTTCCATTCAAAATTAAAAAAATAGTAGGTTTTATAAATGTCAATCAAAATGCGTTTCAACTTTTACATACTATTTAATTATAATACTAATCGTGATAACTTTGTAAAAGATTTAAGGAAATAATCTTTCCATTTAAAATTTAAAAAATAACTATGGTTTTCGTAAAATTAACAACCAACTTAGAAATAACAACTGAGGAGCAAAAAATTCTTTGAAACAGTGAAGTGACTTTAAAACCGCAATCTAGATAGCACCATAACAACAAGGGAAAACGACATTTGAGGGTAATAAAGTGTTCGACATGTATTCATTTGGTCTCTTATCTTTTTTTGTCTTTATTATACCATTGAACTTAATATTCCTGCTCACCAAAACCCTCGCGGACGGTTATCACATGTTTTGCCGGTTTCCTTATTTTAAAACATTTAATTAGAGATGACATGTCGTATTACGTGGACTTAGAACACATTGCATACACGTTTCTCTTTCACCCCCTTTTCTCCTTACAGTTAGGGTTCAATCGAAGATTACGGGTTACGAAATTGAAGAGAACTGGTGAATGCGGGTGTTATAGTGAAGAACATGGCCTCCGATTCCAAACAACGTAAGTATTTGACAGTTTATGTACATTATAATGGTTTATTCGCACCAAAACCATTAGTGTACTTGAACGCTGTTGTTGTTTCAATCTGTGATGTCGATTTTGGTGTAATGGATCTCAAAGAGTTTAAGTTGTTCATTGTAAAGTTGATTGAAAGCAGTTGCGATAATGTATATTACTGCACTAGAAATGAACCATTGGCAGAGGGTATTAGGATAATTGGGAATGATGCTGACTACTTTGAGTTTATTGAAACGGGTTATAGTAATGAAGCTGGTCTAAGAATAAATATGTATATAGACCACGAAAATGAACCTGTACTTGATTGGGCTAATATGGAAGTACTAGAAGATGGTGAAGGGCATTATTCTGAGCAAGACCCAGATGATGATAACGATTCACAACTTTCTGATGATATTCCATATGAGCATGAAGCAGATGATTACATTCCTTCTCTTGACAAGACTATTGGTGATGAATTCTTACACCAGATGTCAGGTATTTTGTAAGGATATAAATGATGAGGTTGAAACCGATGAGGTTGAAACCAACAATGGGGAAGAAACCAGTGTACCATGTCCATACTGAGAACCAGAAATGGGACAAAATGGTGCCAATTCTAGGTATGAGATTCTCTAACCCTATGTAATTAAAAATTTGTATGACTAACTATGCAGTGAAGAATGGGTACAATCTTTATTATGAGAATAATGATAGTCAGAGGTTATTAGTGAGATGTTGTAAAGATAACAAGAACCCCTCTTGTCCTTTTAGACTGCGGGCTTCGTGGATGAGTAGTGAAAGGTCTTTCCAGATTAAGTCCTTAGTTAATGACCATAATTGTTCAAGAGTCTTCAAACTTGGTTCCATTGTAACATATAATTGGATTGGAAAACATTTTAAGAATCAACTTTTGAAGAACCCTAAAATGAGCATAAGGAAAATGAAAGCCAAAGTGAGTACAAAGTTTAACTTGATTCTTAGTGTGACTCAATGTAGAAATGCTAGGAGATATGCTTTGGATGAGATAGAGGGTAGTTTGATAGAACATTATGGTAAAGTATGGAGTTATGGAGAAGAAATAATGAGGAAAAATCATGGTTCAACAGTAAAGATAGATGTGAATGTCATGCCTGATTCCACCACTTACTTTTCTAAAATGTATGTTTGTTTTAAGGGTGTGAAGGATGGTTGGATTGCAGCATGTAGGAGGGTAATAGGGGTAGATGGTTGTTTTTTAAAGGGTATATGTAGAGGCCAACTGTTAGCAGCTATGGGTAGGGATGCAAACAACCACATCTTCCCTATTGCATGGGTTGTGGTAGCAGTTGAAAATAAGGAAACATGGAAGTGGTTTCTTAACCTCTTACTGGGTGACATTGAAATGGGAATTGGTCATGGATTGACCCTCATATCAGACCAACACAAGGTATATTTTCTCTGTTATGTTTTGTTTGAGTACATGTTTTTGTTATGTCGTCTATTTCATGTTTGTTTTAGGGATTGGTAGATGCTGTCAAAGAAAGGGTTCCAGCAGCAGAGCATAGACAATGTGCTAGGCACATCTATGCTAACTTCAAGAAAAGATTCAAAGGTGAAAAATATAGGAAGTTGTTTTGGGCAGCTGCTGCTAGTACTACTCAACCTAAATTTGAGGCAGAAATGAATCCCATAAAAAAATTGACCCTTTGGCTTATGAACAGGCTCATGGAAAGGGATCCTAAAAGTTGGTGAAGGGCATTCTTTGAAGTGGAAAGGGCTTGTGATGCTTATGAGAATGGCATATCAGAAAGTTTCAACTCTGTTATTGATCTTCCTAGGAAGAGACCACTCCTCACCATGTTGGAAGAGATTCAGATTTATGCAATGGAGAGGATGTATAAAATGTTGCTAGAGGGACAAAGTTGGGGTAATTTAAATATATTCCCATCTATAAGATTAAAGATATCAAAGTTAAAGAAACAGCAAAGGTATGATATAACTTCTATTTTATAAGTATTATTATCTCATCTATTAGATTAATAGAACTTGGTATTTTTGTGGACAGATTTTGGGGAGTTATACCTTGTGGGATACAAAAATATGAGGTTCGGCTTGGAAATGATGGATATGCTGTGGAACTTACCAACAACACATGTGGATGTAGATCTTGGCAAGTATCAAGTATCCCATGTGTACATGCAGTGGCAGCCATTTCATACCTCAACAGGAATGCAGAGGATTATGTTGCACCATGGTTCTATACAGCCATGTTCTTGACTTGTTACAACCATACCATTAATCCACTTAATGGTAGTTCCATGTGGCCTGAAGTTCCCTACATTAAGCCATTGCCTCCCCAAAAAAGAAGGTTACTAGGAAGGCCAACCCTTAAAAGGAAAAGGGATCAACCTGAGAGGGAAGTCAAGGGGAAAACAAGGCATACTATCTCAAAAGCAGGTGCAGTTATGAGATGCATTATTTGTAGAGAAAGGGTCCACAATAGATCAACATGTCCTACAAGACCAGAAGATGTAGCATCCACTTCAAGGCCGAAAAACAAGAAAGCTAAAAAATGTAAAAAAGAGAAAGGTATGCTATTAAAACAATGTAATTATATTGAAACATCCAACTCATTAACTACACCTTTGTATAACAGGTACTCTGGAACCAGTTCAAGTAGATCCACTTCAAGTGGAACCGGTTCAAATAGATCCATTAGATGATCCAGCTCCACATGTTGATGACATTCAAGTAGATGATCCAGCTCTACATGTTGATGTTCACGTAGATGATCATGTTAATGATGTCCCTACTCAACCTGTTGCAACTAGGAAGAGGATACAAAAATATTCAGAAAGAATTACCAAGATAGGGTTGAGGAGGAAGGTTTTGAAGAAAGAAGGAAGCACTGATCACCACCCAATGGTGTTGGAATGATTTTATGTTTTAATATTTTTGGGAAGACAAACTTTTAGTCTTTTAATTATGTAATTGGGAAAACTTTTAGTCATGGCACATGACACATCTTTTGACATATTAGGACAAACGTGGGCACAACTTTTGTAATGGTGCACATGTTAATGGAATCTTACAAGTTTGTCTTTTATCTATATGCTTTGGTGTTTGGTTATTTACCCATGGATTGTTTCAAAAAGATTTAGTCTTAATACATTAAGAAATGTTTAGTCTTATATCTATCATTAATCAAAAAGATTTAGTCTTAATACATTAAGAAATGTTTGATGTTGTTGTTGTGGTTAATCTGGACCATTTTACCCTTGGATCACATTAAGACATTAACAATTGATTGCTGCCAAACTTAATCTGGACCATTTTACCCCTGCATCATGTCCAATTCACTAACCTGTTAAACACATTAATATTTCTTTGAAACCACTCAAAACATCAAACTATCATTAATCAAAAAGATTTAGTCTTAATACATCAAACAAAATACAACATTAAGTGTTAAATTTAGTCTTTGAATACAACTTCACTAATTACTTCTTAAACACAAACAACAGAAACAACACAATCATCAGAACTTTATGAGTAAACAGCTTCCATTTGAATTTTTCAAACTCTTGTCTAACAACCAAATTTTCTTATTTCCTCTTCATCTTACATATGCTGATCTCGTTTTCCAATGTAGAAACTTTGAGGGTTAAATTGCACAGTTCTTTTTGGTCCTTCCCATAACTGACTTCATTTTCAGGGGTTTCGGGCTCCAACCATTCCCAGAACTTGTATTTTGGTCCTTCATTTTTGAAAAAAATAACAAATTGGTTAAAGAAAGAAGATTAAATGAAAAGTGAAAGCATTTGATTTACCATGTAGTTAGGGCACAATCTGAATTTTTTTCATGGATTGTCTTTAGTTCATGAAGTTCATACACGAGATGGTAACCCACAATAACAAGGGTTTTTAGGTTGAAATTCAGCATTTCGTTTGCAAGAGATAGAAGAAGAAGAAGAAGCATCCATGTCGATCTAGGGCAAGAATGATGCAGTACTGCAACTTAATATTGTATGACTTGCATTTAATAAGCCAAGTGTATACCACATAATGCCACGTAATATCCACATAAGCAGTAACCTACAACAACCGGTCGCGAGGGTTTTGGTGAGCATGAATATTAAGTTCGATGGTATCATAAAGACAAAAAAAAGATAAGGGACCAAATGAATACGTGTTGAACACTTTATTACCCTCAAAGGTCATTTTCCCTAACAACAATGAGCGCAACTACCTTGAAAACATAGCAATCAGCATCAACAGGAACCAACAACATCACAACACAACATAAATAAAATGTCACACTAGAAACAAGCTCAGCAAACACTGTGGCTCTTGTGGTGTTGATTATGATGGCATGTGCGGAATTAGAAAAGATCTAGTGAATCATCATCCAAACTCAAGAACACAAGGAGTAAATAAATCTGTGTAAGCTCATATTAGATCTAGAAAGGATATAAAAAAGGGTTTGTACAAATTTCTCTCTAGTCTAACACTCCAAAATGATCATCACTAAATATGAGTGTCACTCACTTCCTATTTATAGGAAAAACAACTCATTTACACATACAAAGGAGTAAAGCACAAATACATCCAAGAGTGACTTTGCACCCTAACATTCTCCCCCTCAAAGTTAGGATTGGATGTCCGGCTTCAATATCCAACGATCTCGCGCTATCAAGACCAAACTCCCCCTCGAAATAACACCGGTCTTCAAATCCGCAAAGAATACCCGAAAAAGTCGCTTCGAATACCCATCATTCTCCCCCTTTTTATAATCAAAAAATGATTATAAAACCCATTAAGAGTGAGAAGCGCCCGAGGAATAAACTTCACAATACTCCCCCTTGATGTGTACCAAAAATGAATCACCAAAAATCTTGCACGGAAAAACAATCACGAAAAAGCCTCAAAAAAATTCCAATTTGTGAAAATTTTTGACTTTTTTGGGTGAAAGTTGCAAGATTTTCATAAATCCGGGTAAAAAATGTCACTTTCTGAATTCTACAGGGACCCGTTGCGCCAAAAACAGCCAAATATGTGAAACTCTCCCCCATTTGCGAAATTGGGTAGAAAGTGTAAATTCGCACAAACTGCAGGGACCATAAATGAAAATTCTGCAATTTCTCAGCTTTATGAAGCTATTTTCGAAAGTGGGTATAAACAGCCAAACTTTTGAAACTTCAAGGACCCTTTTCGAAAATTCTGCCTTTTGTCCAAAAATGTCCAAATTTTGACCATAGGCAAAAGTGTCAAACTGTCGAAACACTAGGGATCATTTTCGAAACCTTTATGCTTTCTTCCCCCAATTCGTTTCCCAGGCAAGAAACTTTCACAGCACCATTTTTAATGAAAAATTTTCAATCACCAAATCCACACCTCCATTTTAACGAAACTTTTTGCTTGAAATGTCGAAAATTACAAACTTTCGTTAGTTCCAGCCAAGCAGTCGACACCAAAAACTTTCGATCTTCATTCCACAAATTCGTGAATCCAGTAACTCAAAACTTCGTTACTCTAACATCGATGCTCAAATTTTCGACAATAAGGCAAAAAATTTCGTCCTTGGCGATCAAACAAAAATCTTCGACTATTGACCCTTTGAAATCAAATACTCGACTCCAAACTATTCGATTCCAACACAGTATAACGAAGCCTTCGTTATCAGCCTTCCTGATCAAAAATCAAATTCCCATCAATATCAAATCCAAAATTCAATAGGTGACCATCGACATCTCCAGATTTTGAAACTTTCATAGACAAATTTGAATAACCTGATGCAATATACCAAAATCAATCGATCTAACTTTGACTCCAAAAAGTCAACTTTCAAACCAATTCCAATTCATCAGCCTTTGAAATCATCAATCGACTCATCCAGTTCGTCAACATCAAACCAAAGTCGACCATTGGAATCAAAATCAATCAGGCTTTAATCGGAACTAGCAACTCACGAAATCATCGACTATCCATACCATGGATGCAAACATCAATCGACTGAACAAAACACGCTTCAATTCCATCTCAATTCCTAATGTCGACTACACACCCACAATCCTTCGAATCGCTATCCTTTGCATTTCAGTTTTGACTCCAAGCGAACCTTGAACATTCGATTGAGTATTGTTTCTCATCAAATCCATTGATTCGAACATTTTTCTGTGGAATCTCACCATCAAATCATTCAATTTCAAAATCGAAATCAAGAGCAGATTAAGATATCAAAGTCGAAACCACCACACATCATTCCAAGACAAAATCCAGATCAATTACGAGTTCGAAATCTGATTTCAGTCTAATTTTCATCTATTTTGACTTTAGGTTTGACTTTGATCGATGATAAATGAATACGATATAGAAATCATTTGACGGAAATGGGATGTAATCGAATAATCAGTTTGAACACAGTGAACGGATCGTGAACAGTAACTATCAAGTCAAATTGGGCTAAATCAAAACAATTCATCAAAATGGGCTTAAACAATGAATCCACGAATCGAAAATGTGATTGGACTCAATTTTGGATGAGATGAACAGTGAATTTTGGAAAAACTTATAGAATATGATTTTGATTTTTGTGATTTGATCTAAACAAAAATAATTGGATCATTCAATGGGGTTTGAAACGGATTTGATCTAATGAGGCAAATCGATCAAAAATTGAAAAACGCAAAATACGAATCGAAATCATGGACGTTTTGGAATCCATTTGAGAATTTGAGATACTTTTTTGACGAATCGAGTTCCATTTTCAACGAGCGAATCGAATTTAGAAGATCTTGGTTCTTTTGTTGGAATGAGAAAATCTCCAAATCGAACATTGTACCACCCACTATGCGAGATGTACAACTCGTTCTTCGTGTTCTTCGTGTTCTTCAACGATCCAAGAACATCTTCAAAAGAACCACCAACACTTTTGGGTTTTAATTTCAAATTCAATGCAACCTTTGGAGATTGTTGCTTTGGAACCCAAATTTGCTTCATGGATCTCGGATTCACAACAACATTTGACGATTTTTGTGATTAAACCCGTTTGTTCTTCCTTTTAATCTTCTTCTTCTTTTTCTTTCTCATCTTTTTGCATCATGAAGACTTGATTTCATGAACAAACCCACTTTCCACAACATCAACTTTGTGAGTTTGAATCAAATCTTTTGGAGTTTGATACTTGTGAATTTCTTGGATCACCGGCTTCCGATAAGGAATTATTCCTTCAAACGAACCACAAGAACACAAAATATCATCAGTTTGAACTCCAATTGAGTAAAAAAAAATTTCATCTTGAGAATCAACTTGAATCTTCTTATCATGAACTTCAAGAACATCAAGAACATCACATTGAACTCCATTGTCTTGAACTTCAACAAACTTAAGAGCACGAAGATCATTTGGGTCTTCAATAAGAGAAACATATTTCTTATTGAACAAATATTTTTCTTCTCCATTCCTTTTATCAGAACTACGTGTTGATATGGACCAGGTAATTTCAGCCAACCATTTAATCTCACAAAGTGGGTGAAATATCAAGCTTCCATAATCATCCTTCAATCCTCCATAAGAAACCATAGTTCCCCATGTAATCAAATTGTTTAACACCAACCCATAATATTGATTTTTATTGACTTTGTATTTGACATCTTCACGATCACAATCCAAGAATTATACGGCAAATTCACCATGATCACAAGAACTTGAAAATTTTCTAGAGAGAGAAAGTGATTTTGAATGGGTTTTCCGGAGAGAGAAAGTAAAAATTACTTGAATTCTAGTGAATAAAATCGAATTATGAATAGAATCAAAGATGAATTCGATTTTATTGGGTAGGAATATCTGTAGGCATAAAAAGTAGGAAGCAATTTAATTTCTCAATTGGATTTATTTATTATTTCCTTATTATTTATAGACAAAACAAATGGTCCATA